TAAATATTATTTAATACTTATCTTTTATTTTATTATACTTATATACATATATGTTTACTGATTTTATTTTGATATAACTTTAAAATACTTTTTAAAATTAATAATAATTTTTTTAAAATATATAATTAATTTAAACAATTAAAATAATAATTAAATATGTGAATTAAAAGATAAATTATTAAAATATAACATATTTGAATTTGTTAAGCGAGAAAATGCTTATCTTAGTACAAGAAAGAAAATGTGTAATATTTATATCTATGAAGGAATTAATGTCAATATAAATGATGTTTTGATAATAAATTTTTTTAACAAACAAAACTTGAACATAAAATTTTTAAAAATGAGTAAAATGTTATATATTAAAATTTATCAATGAAAAATCTGTAATTTTCAACTTAAGAATAAAGAACAATATAATAATATTCGTATCTTTCAGAAGAAGAAAAAAGTGTAATTTACTCTTTAATTTTTGAAGGCCTAACATGTTAAATTTAAGCTTAAAATTAATTGTTACTCATTAAGATATATTTAAGTTACATATCTATTAAGCAATGTGAAATAATTATCATTATATTTTATCTTCCAAAAAAATTTATTATATTTCAACTTCAATTTTTTTTGACATTTTAATAACAATAAAAAGTCTCATTTTGATTATTATTTTACAATATTAATAAAAATATTAAATATTTTTCTTCTCAAAAAAATATTAATGTTTTTATTGTATCTTTACTTTTTATTGTGAATAAGAAAATATAAAATGATGGATATGAAAATTGTGGTACTATATTTAATATTAAGTCATCTAAATTAAATGAAACAAGAATAATCTTATGGTGGGTTTTCGAAAATACATTGGATGCAAATCCTCATCTTACATTTCATTCATATATGTGGAACATAATTGAAAGAGGAATGAAACGCAGAGTTAGTGGATGAATGGTACCCATTGTCATTAACGTGCAAAAATCATTAGACGACACGTGGAAGAGCCAAGGCGTCACTGGTGACTGAACCATTCATAACTTTGGCGGTAAGATGAACGGATGAGAGTGGGTGGACGGCCATGATTGGGTTGGGGGAGTGAAGCATCCCTATCGCGGCAGCACAGTATGATATCTACAGTTGTGAAAATTATGAGAAAAATAATAAAGAAGAGATCCCCTCCCACACCATAAAATAAGGGCTATATCAGTATGTAGCAGCTTCTGTTTGGTGGCTGCCGGGGCCAAAAGCAGTGGGACACCTTTCTTTCCTTAGCACCTTACTGCCACCATTTTTCACTTTCACCTCTTAATAAATCACCACTGTCCTTCTTAATGTCATTGACCTAACAAGTTCTTAAATGTTGAACTCCATTAGTAGTACTACTTGAGAGATAAAATAGATGCAACTTAGGGAATATTAGGTAAAAAAAAAAAAAAAACCAGTTAATTGTATGTTATTT